AAAAAGGCAAACCATGAAATCAAAAGGTTTATGTCTCTATATAGGTTTGAACAAATCAAAAGATTTTTTCATATTTCAATACCAGGTTAACCCCACCCACACTGGTATTTTAAAGTAGAACCTTTTGTATCCCATATTCAAAGCGCAATTAAAAATTTTTATATTCCTAGTTCAAATATATCGCTTGATGAAATGATAATACATTTTTCTAGGCGAAGTGTTTATATGGTAAGAATGAAAAATAAGCAGACCCCAGAAGGGTACAAGATCATTTTACTTTGTGATTACAGTTATACTTGGACATTTGTGTTTACATCATGAGTTGAAAAAGATAACCTGATAGAATCTGTTCCCGGTCTTAACAATATTAGATATTTGGTTGCGCATTTAACCCGTATGCTTCCTAATAATAAAATGCATCATGTATATATAGATAATGACTATTCAGTATACCGCTTTTCTAACACTTATGTGAAAATGGTATTGGCACTTGCAGTACTACTCATATGAATTTAGCTGGATTCTCTAAAGAATTAAAAATTGGTAAAGAATCATTAGATTGGAACACACTTATGGGAAAAGTAGTTAATGATATTTTGGCTATTCTCTAGATAGATAATGGCCTGGTGACTATGTTAACCACTATTCATGAAATTTCTAGTGAAAGTTGGAAGGTTGTTCGTAATTAACGATGACCACATGAAATGAGTTCAAATACAAATACGGTACGTCAGGTTTTTGGAAATGAATTTCGTAAAGAATTGGAGATTCCATGAATAATCAATAATTACAACCACAACATGGTGGTGTCGACATCGCTGACCAACTCCATAGGTATTACAACTGTCAATTAACTATTAGGCACACTTGCCTCATTCTATTTTTTTAGATATTAGATACTGTTCTTGTGAATTGTGTAATTATTTATTGTAAAGCAGCTAATTCAAATATTTCAAGTAAAGATTTTAGAATCAATTTAGCTTGGGATTTGATCAGAGATACTTTAGATGATGGAAAAAAAAAAGAACTGCAAGATCTTCAAGCTCTATCAAAGGGAAAACGAATCATCGTAAATAAAAATTTTGAACTACTCTTAACACACTTATAGATGGTGAACATCTAGTTAAATAGGTAAAAAAAAAAGAGGCTTGCATTTATTGTCATTATCTAGTGCAATGTGGTGAAAAAAGTATTAATTCTGATGACTCTCCACAAAGCAATTTATGGTGTGCCAAATGCAAAGTTCTGCTATGTGCCTCTAAAGCAAGACCGCATTGCTTTAGAGATTTTTACTCTAAGAAATAATAAGAATAATCTTTAAGGTTCGTATGATGGTCACATATACATTTATTCTAGCCGGGGATATCAAGAATGAATAAAGTTTGATTTAAAAGTTTTTTTTTATTTGCATATTACATTTTTATTAACAAGCTTTTTTTTTTCTTTTTTTTAGAAAAAAAGTAAGTTTATCATGATATTACAAATTAACACGATCTATTAATCGCATCTAACCTTCTAACTGGCATAGATCCAAACAATGTGATATTAGCAAAAAAAAAAAAAGTTTAATAAGATAAGAAAAAAAAAAAATAAGAGCATTGAATAAAAACTGATTAAAATGTAAGTTTATTATAATATTACAAAATTAACACAATCTATTAATTGTATCTAATCTTCTAACTAGCATGGGTTCAAACAATATGACATTAGCAAAAAAAAAAAAAAAAGTTTAATAAGGTAAGAAAAAAAAAAAAATAAGAGAATAGAATAAAAATGATTAAAATTTAAACCTGACTTTTTAGAAACCACTTTTGAATCATGTAGGTAAAGGTTCAGCTTTTATGTCGACTATTAATTAAGCGCATAAATATTTCTGTGAAATTGTAAGAAGAACTGTAAATATTAACCGTAAAAAAGCAGTTAGGAATCGAGGTTTTTTTTTCAATTTTTATTATCTAAAAGTACACATGTAAAATTGGCAAAATGTTAGGCAAGAGATGAAAAAAAATTAAAAATTAGTAAAACATTAGGAAAAATTAAAAATTAGAAATAGTTAGGATTAATAAATTTGCTAATTGTATGATATATGTACGTACGTATGTATTACAAATAAAAAATTTGGACAGATAATTGTAATTTTGTACCGCGTCCAAGTTTTTCTTATTGTACTTGAATTAAAATTAAAATAAATATAAATTTGAAGTACTAGTTTTATTAAAAATTACAATTTACTATTATAAAAATTTTCTAGGCAAATTTGCCTGGAAATGATCTACAGATTAAGGGATAATATAATAATGTATTTTAATTATTATATTATATTTACAATTGAAAATTTTATTTAAAATGTAACAGAGAATACTCAGTATAATATGATGCTTATGAAGTGATTGACTATTAAATAAGCAGTACTAATTATTTTTATCATATAAAATTGAAGCACTTTCTTAGCATTAGTACGTATATTATAATTATAATATAATAAATATATTATTATTATATTATAATTATATTTTATTTATATTTTTTATTTTGTTTAATTTAAATAATTTTAATAAAATAATTAAAAATATA